CTCTCTTTTAAGCCTATGGGATAGCAAAGAGAACTTTGGTGGTGTCATGGTTACTTACATATTGGGCTGCTAAATGCAAGGTCAGTAGTTCAAAACTACCAGCCTCCTCCACAGGAGAAAGATGTAACTTTCTATTCCTGTGAAGAGTGATTGTCTCAGAAACTCACAAGGGCAGTTCTACCTTGCCCCATCCGTTCAATTAGTTAAAATTGAAGATGGCAGTGAGGTTGGCATAGTAAACTAACAAACCCCCACATGAAATTCCATACACCGTATTTACATGATCTCACAAGGGCCCATGGTGGCATACTGGGTTGCACATTGGGCTTCTAACCCCGTGGTCAGCAGTTCAAATCCACCAGCCACCACTTGGTAACAAGATGAGACTTTCTGCTACCATAAAGATATATACCCTTAGAAACTAAAGAGGCAATTTCTCCTCTACCCTATAGGGCAACTGTGAGTCAGGATTGCCTCGGTGGCAATGGGTTTGTGGACTCCCTCTCCCCCAGACCTTATGGACCTTTTTTGCATTATTACTTATAGCACCAATATCATCAATATTTTGCATATATCTTTATAGTTTGTTCTTTAATCTCTAATCCTTCCTTCTAGTAGTTTGATCTTTAATCTCTAACACTTTCAGTGGCATCTCTTTTCACTCATCTCTTTTTCATCCTTGTTAAAATGTAATTTTCTCTTACAAAGAATTAGTAGGCAGTACAGACAGCATTTAAGATAATGACTTGAATTTAGACATTCATAAATTCTATATGCTAACCATCATTTATAAGTCTTATGACCTATAAGAAAGTTACTTAACCTCTCTGAACCCTGTTTTCTTCACCTACCTTTCATTGCTTGCAGCAGGGAGATCTCTTTGAAACTCTGATGTTAATTCTTTACGCTAGGAAACCCCACAGTTTCCCATGGAGTGAAGTAAGATACCTTAATTTGATGTTAAACCGATATAGCCTATTCTACATTCCTTTTCAACTTGTTAGTGCCCATTTCCAGTACAGCTTCATGTTCTGCCCACATCTTGATGTTTGACATTTTTGTTTTAGTCCTTCAGTTTTGATTACCTTCTCCATATTCACTGGAAAAACTCCTCGTTCTCTATCTCCCCTCCCCCAAATGCATTCCTTTATTTAAATGTTTCCTTTATCTTTCCCATTTCCCAATGTTAAATTGTCTCTCATTTGTGCTCATGTAGCACTGTATACATACCGTG